GATCTGAGGAGGCTGAAGGAGAGATATGACAAACACCATAATTTTAAAAAATAAGAACTAATCTGGAATAATTCATATGAAATCACCTGGTTTTATTGCCAATGACAGTGAAAGCTGAGTATTGCTTTCATTTTTAATACTTTGGAATTTTTATCTGAGTATGAAAAAAATTCCTTTTGGCCATAGATTTTAGGCTCCCAAGGCCAGCAACTTCTAGTCTACAAAATAAAACTATATCAAGTTTTGATTTTATCATAAATAACCTAATCAAAAAACTTTATTTTATTGTTCCTAGTAGATCTCGGTTCTCAATTGCTTGTGCATTAAATCCACAGTTTATATTAGAAACAAGTTTTCATCCAATAGGCTATAAACATTTCTCTATTGTGTGATATTTTTGAAAGTTTAATCATGTCAGAAATAAGTTTTTGAGGTCTAGAGGCCATCTTTCCTCTTCTATATTTCAAGTACTCAGTAAGTCAGTCCTGTAAAACTGCATCTGAGCCTCAATTTCTTTCTTTCTATCCAAATGGGAAAAACAGGTTATAATTTCTTCCTAAGGTTTATATTCAATTTGTCACAGGCACTTGCTTTGAGTCTATGGAACATGGACAGAGAAGGGCCATTGTAGGTTTTCCAGCAGAAAGGGGGCAGAAAGACATCTTGGAAACCCAGCTACCAAAGGTTTAATCTGAAGTTTGTATCACTGTGATCTAAACTTCTCCATCTTCCTTCCTTTCCTACCAATCTTCAGCAACACTCACAAATGCCACAACTGAATGGGTGCTTTTCTGGAAATTTACAATGAAGCTGAATTCATGCCTGGCTTGCCATGTTCAGAGCAGAGGTGTACTGTATGAGTATAGGAGCCTGGCAATGGAGATGTCTTTGAGAATGCAAGCCCAGTGGACATTTGCAGAAATCCTGGGGAAGACCTTGAATTCTAAAGGTATGAGTTGATATACAAGCTCATCTTACTAAGATCTTAATGAAGTGGAGGATATTCCAGACACCTTTTAAAATAAAAACAAAGGTAATAATATAAACCATGTAAGATAATTTGTAATTTGTGATGTCCTACAGAAAAGAGCGGTGTATTATTTTTATAATACAATTTCATCAAATATTCTGTTTACATTCTTATGTCTAACAGGCTTGGGGGAAAAAAGAAATTAATTACGAAGAATGAACTTATTTTCCAAGGAAAATACCAGATATGACAAAATCACCAGCTGGGAATTAGTCTTTTTATTTGGTAAGTAATATTTTAAAGTAAATTAGAGATAATATTCTGTTATTTAAGAACAGCCTGAAACAGTGTCATCAGTCTAAAACACAGGTTAGTAAATACTATTTTGCAGGCAAGACTCACACCAAGTGCCTGTGAAATGCCTAATAGAAAACAAAATAGAGCTTTTAAATGTATCTTTCTGTAAAAAAAATATGAGTAAGTTACCTGGAATCACTATAAAATTATATTTTTAGGCAAAATTCCTTTTATTTATTTGTAGCAAAGAAAAAAATAGTTTCGTGGAATTTTGAAGGTATATGCAAGTCATATATATCAATATATCTATTTCAAGATTACATATCTTCTATCTGATTATTTCTTATTTCAAGTTTTATAGACATTATAAAATAATAGTAGTGCCATGTCATTTTTCATGCCATGTCATTTTTCACTACAATTTGAAAAATAAAATGTACATTTTAGAATAATAGCAATAGTATAATATGCTGTCCACTAGATGGAGACAAGCACTCCTTCCTGCTTTTGGTAGTTTTCTTATTGTGAGAATAAAGCAGTGCTGAATGTTCAGAATCAACAACAGACTTGTACTGGAAGGTTCCTTGAAGGCTCCTTGACCCTCAGCACCACAGGGACTATTATTTGAGGAATTTCCATGTGTTTATGCAAAGATTTTTTTATTATCACGGGATAATTTTCAATTAACTAAGCATGTAATAATGACAATTTAAAAGCAGGTCTTCCCCCCGCCCCCAAAGAATTTATCATTACCTTCAAAAGTCACAAATTTTGTTTGTTTATTTGAAGTTTTACAAAATTCTTTTTTGATGAAACATCAGAAAAAATTGCTTTTTTTTTTTTTTTTTCGTGGTACCAGGGATTAAGCCCAAGGGTGCTCAACTACTAAGCCAAGCCCCCTTTCCTTTTTAATATTTTTATTTTGAGACGGGCACTAAGTTGCTCGGGGCCTCGCTAAAATTCTGAGATTGTTGTTGAATTTGTGATTCTCCTGCCTCAGCCTCCTAAACTGCTGGCATTGTGGGCATCTGTTTCTGAGCTCAGCCCTATCATATTCTTAAGAGAACATTTAGTGTTCAAATTACAAGTAATTTCTTTGCTCTGATAAATATAAAACATAGTTAGGAAAAACTAACAAATTTACACTCAGCTCCATAAGTGATATTTCATCACAGAACTGAAACTGATATAATAAAATGCAAGGCAGGTGCTACTGCCCAGATTAGCATGACCTTCGCCCTCCCCTGAGGACAGGATCCAGTGGGTATCACATTTGCTCTGAATTTTATAAAATAATGCCCTCAATTGAACATTTTAAGGAAGGTTTCCACATTTTTTTCATCATTGTTGAAGAAAACTATCAGCATATTGTAAAAAGATTTTAAAAAAGCAAAAAATAAAAATATTTTAGACACTCTTTTTAATATTCCAATGGAATCTAAAGGAAAAGCCGTAAGACCTTTGCCATGATCTATTTACAAATGCTTAAAGAAGCTTTTCATTTTAAAGTTTTTTTCTCCTTGAATTCATGTTTTCCATCCTATTTTCTTCGCAGAGTATTATATTAATACTCATATATAGTCATGCTTGAAAGACTTATTGAACACCCATCTGGGTTTTTCTGGGGCAAAATTATGTACTTCTGCCATTACATTTTATACGCATTTGCTCTTTGGTTGCTCTTTGTCTCTACCTACTAGAATGTAAACTCCTTATAGACAGACATTTGCTTTTTGTTTTGTCACTACTGAATTCCTAGCATTTGAAACACAGACTAACATAACATAAGTGATGTATTTTTTTTTAACTAATAAGAGTGAAATTTAAAATTTACCCTTTATATGACCATAAATATCTACATTTTAAATGTTCAAGTGGCACTATAATGACAACTATTTTTAACATACAGCTTTAGAAAGCAATACAAAATATATCACATTGATAAAAAGTAAAATGTTATTAGAAATACAGTTCTTAATGGAATGGATGAGATCTTCCTTGTTTTCATTAAGTCACATATCCGTGGGTGAATATTACTGATCGTTGGAATAAGATAGAACTGAGGATCAATTCTGTTTCATTTCAAAAATTTTTCAAAGGTGTAAATGCAAAAAATACTGAATCACAAATTAAAAATATGCAGGTGACTTTTATAATACTGACACTTCTTTTACTCCTTTTTACTTAGGTGCCATGTATCACATAGTTATTTGTTTATCATTGAAAGAATTATAGTGACCCATCAGCTAAGGTCTCGAATAGGTCCTTCAATCTGGCTGAAAGTTGAGTTTTAGGCAAATTGGTGTTATCCAGAGACACCACTATTCCAATTGTACATTCATTTGACTCCCTAGAAGGATGTGCTCCCGAATGTGCCTTTATAAAGTGAAAAGTGGGTAGTCACAGAAATGGAGGCAGAAACACCCATCTGATAGAAAAGAGAGAAGGGGTGAAGACACCTTCATTACAGATATTTTCTCTACTCTACAGGGAGTTTACCTTGAGAAATGTGTACATATGAAACTAAAGACTGAGAAATGTATTGCCACAAAACTGTGCCTCCTACTGTTTACTAAGCTTTTCAGATCACCCAATTTAGGGATTGCTACTATTCTAAGGTACAATTAATTCCACTGTGACAACCTGACTCCTGCTGTATTAAGCTGATACAGCTAAAGCAGAGTCATGTCATGTTTGACAATAATGGCTGCCTGTTTGAAACAACTCACTACAGTGATATGCAAGCAGATCCTATTGAGCAAATAAATAGTTACACTGAACATTAAATAATGATGCATTCATCTAATAGAAAGGTTTTCTCATCTGACAATTGTGGCTGGTCATAGGCCAGTTTAGGGAAGGTTGTGTTTTCCAACAGATATATTAATTATTTGAACCTAGGAATGGAATAGAGTTGTAAGCTGATTCTCAATGTGATGGTGTTAAAAGGTGTGAGACTTTTGGGTGTGATTAGGTCATGAGGGTGAAATCCTCATGAACTGGCTTGATAGAGACCATTGGTCCCTTCTCCTCCGTGGGTACAGTAACAAAAATGAACCAGGAGGACAGCAAATATGTCAGCCCCTTGATCTTGGATTTCCCAGCCTCCAGATGGTATGTAATAAGTTTCTATGGCTTATAAGCTGCCCTGTTTGTGATATTTTATTATAAAAGTCTAAAGAGCTTATGACAAGCACATTACAGATGTTCCCAAACTTAGGATGATTTGACTTACAATTTTTTGACTTTATGATGGTATTAAAGCAGTACACATTTTGCAGAAACTGTATTTTGAATTTTGCTCTTTTCTGGAGCTAGTCATGTGCAATATAATTTTTCTTATGATATTGGGCAGCAACAGCAGGTAAGTAGCTCCCAGACAGCCAAGAGATCAGGAGGAGAAGCCCTTATTCTGCAGCAGACTCTGTGGCCAAGCTATGTTCCATAGGTGTATTAAATGCACTTTAGCAGACAATATATTTGACTTAAAATGGGTTTATCATCATACAACCTCATCAAAAGTATCTGCATTTCATAAAACCAATCTAACCTAATGAGAAAGGCATCATTATCACCATCTGCTAATGATAAATACAAGGATGGAAGATGTTTAATACATTGCTTAAGGTCACATAAGACCTAGCAAAGGCCACATTAGCCACAAGAAGAGCACATAATTGCAATCTCCACTCCAAACCCTGACAATAACAAGTAACATTTATGGAAAACTTACCATTGTTAAGTTCTATAGTATTCTAGTTGGTGAGCATCAAGGATGGAGTTCCAAGAAGTGCTCTTCTTTGAATCACAGTAGCATTGAAGACATAACACTTAAAATTCTTTTGTTTACAATCATACACCTTGAGAAAGTTTGCTGCTCCATATAAAACCTACAAGATCAAAACAAACTAGCATTTTTCTGACAGAAGATTAATATCCAGAATACATAAAGAACTCAAGAACTTAACACCAAAAAGCAAGTAACCCAATTATGTGTGGGAAGATGGATTAAACAGACAGTTCTCAAAAGAAGAAATACAAATGTCCAAACAAATAATGTGAAGAAAAAAAATGTCCAACACCATTAGCAATTAAGGAAATGCAAATCAAAACTACACTGAAATTTCATCTCACATTAGTCAGAATGACACTCATCAAGAATACAAATGACAATAAATGCTGAAGAGGTTACAGATAAAAGGAAAAACTTTTACACTGTTGGTGGGATTGTAATTTAGTATAACCACTATGGAAATCAGCATGGAGATTCCTCAAAAGACTAGGCATGGAAGTACCAAATGACCCAGCCATTACCACTCCTTGGTATTCATCCCAAAGAATCAAAGTCTTCATACTACAGTGATACATGCACACCCATGTTTATAGCAGCACAATTCACAATAGCCAAACTATACAACCAGCCTAGGTGTCCATCAATGGATGAATGGATAAAGAAAATGTGGCATATATACGCAATGGAGTTTTATTCAGCCACAAAGAAAAATGAAATTCTGTCATTTGAAGGAAAATGGATGAAACTAGAGACCATTATGTTACAAGAAATAAGCCAAACTCAGAAGGTCAAGAGTCATATGCTTTCTCTCACATGTGGAAACTAGAGAAGAAAAAAGAAAAAGAAGGTTGGGGAGGGGTGAGCCTCATGAAAATCAATGGGTAATCAATAGAGAAAAAGGGACCAGGTGGGGAGGGAGCGAGGAAGTGCTGGAGAATGATATTGGCCACATTATATTATTATATTGTACGCATGTTTCAATATGTAACAACAAACCTCATAATTATGTACAGCTATGATGCACCAATAAAACTGTGGGGGGAAAATTAGCTTTAACTTGGAGAACAGAATGATCAGTATGTTAAAGTTATCCTGCCAGGACTCAATCAAAACTAGTCACCACTTTTGATAGAGTTATTAAAAAATCTTGTATGCTTGTCCAGAATTGTATAAATGACCTTTATAGGTTTTGTTGGAAGTGGTTTTGTTCTTCAGTGTAGATCTCCCTTTTCTGAAGAGTCCCCAATGTTGGGCATTGAATCCAGGGCCTTGCACATGCTAGGCAAGTGCTCTACCACTGAGCTACATCCCCATCCCTGCCTGGAAAGTTTAATACAGGTGACTTTGTATTTTAGAATCCTACTTCACTCTGAACCAAGCACCATTCTGAGCATTTCGGATGACAATTCATTTTATCTTCATAATAATTCCACAAACCTTTTTGATCTCCATCTTCCAGAGGCACAGAGAGGTTAATAAATTTGCTGAAGGCCACAAAGGAAGTGGCAGAGCCAAGATTCAACCCAGGCAGCCCAAGTCCAGAGTCCACATTCTTAATCACTACCATATGCCTGGAAAAGAAAGAAAAATTAAATGCATAACTGTATTAGAATAACAGAAAGGAAACATTTTACTTTTGAAAGTATTTTCAGAAACTGTGAGGAATGCCTGAAAGATAGGGAGCCAATAGGAACAGAGAAGAATCAGATAATTCAGATAGATGAGGAGAGACAGAAACTGTGGAAACCCTCAGAGTAATTAATTTGATACAGTAGCAAGAACATCTAAGAAGGCAGACTCCTGGTACTTAACTTCTTGGCCAGTCCAGATGTCTGCATCTCGGAGGCACCAGTATGTGGAAGTGTGTGTCCAAGTAATAAGACAGAACTCCAAGTACTTGGCAAGATCTAGGAGAAGTGGGATGTGTCACATGCAGGGCAGTTGTTGATGTACATGGTCAAGTGGCATATTCTGATCCTTCCAGGTCATATCTCTGTAAACAGATTTCTGCACAAATTCCAGCAACTCATCACAACCCTTCATCTCTACCTAGGCTATGCAATAAGGTAGCAGACTGTCTAATAAGAATTTTCTGCCATAAAATTGAATGTATAAGCACGGATCATCAAATATTCAAAAATACAGTAAAAGGAGACCCACTGATTTATGAAACCAAATCATTTATACCTGAGAAATTCAGAGTACTACAAAAGAATACTTATCTAATTAAAAAAAAAACTAAACAGAGATCATGAAAATTAAATTCAACCAAGAAGGTGCTGGCCGATGGAACAAAGTTGGTCATATATTAATAAAAGTTGAAGATGATTAAATGACAGACACACAAGTTTCATTGTTATTTCTTTCTACTTTAACATGTTTGAAAGTGAAACATGTTTGAAAAGAATACAAAAACATATCTAAAAAAAAGCTAGCCAGGCTTGGTGGCACACACCTGTAATCCCAGCAGCTGGGGAGGCTAAGGCAGAAGGATCCCACGTAAAAAGCCAGCCTCAGCAAAAGCAAGGTGCTAAGCAACTCAGTGAGACCCTATCTCTAAATAAAAGACAAAAATAGAGCTGGGGATGTGGCTCAGTGTTTGAGTGCCCCTGAGGACAATCCTTGGCACCCTCCACCCCCGCCCCACACACACAAAAAAAAAGATAAATAGAAAAACCAGCATGACAGAACATTAAGTTGCAGGATTCTTCCTTACAGCACATACCACAAAAGATAAGAGAATGAAAATACAAAAGAAGAATTAAGGGACATGAACGACAGACAAATTTAGCTGTTGTGACATCATTTTGTAGCAATTATAGGAATGATGGGTCACAACACATGTGGAAACAATTCATTGGGCTCCTGCATGTTCTGAGACTTGGAGACCTTGCACTGTCCACCCCTCCATCCCACAGTGTGGCTGTCAAGAAGATCCCAATGTTTGGTGCCACTGGCACCATATAAAATATTTCTTTCATATTCTTAGTCTCTGTTTTTTGTAATATGTTCTGTAAAAAATGTTTTGGCTTGATGTTCCAACATGTTGTTTTTTTTTCTATTTAGCCTTTTTTTTAAAGATATGTTTTTGTATTTTTTTTAATCTTGGAAACTTTGAATTATATGCTAAAATAGAAGGAAATACTTGTAAAATTTGTGCATTTATCACTAAACTATCTCCAACAGTTTATTAACACAAGACCAGCTTTGTTCATTGTGGAGCAGATGGTGCAAGCAGGTAATAAAGTGGCAGTGCTGGTGTGGATGCCCTCAGACGAGATACAGTGGGCCCAGGTGAAGTGGGTGATCGTCAGCAGCCAGCTGACTTGGTGGGAATGTACCCAAGCAAGGTGCTGTTGATGTGCTGAACACTGGCCCTGACTTTAGTCCTGCTACAGTGATGTCTCAGAGCCCTGGAACATTGTGGCTGCAATAAATGTCCACAGAGTACGCAAGGTTTTGGCCTGATTCTCCCTCTTCCTTCTATGGGACCCAGCCAACATGCTCCTGCACTGCAGGATGTAAACAATAACCATATCTGGATGCACAAAGTATTTCAGGAACAGGTCCTGAAGTACATGTCCATGATGCTGCCACACATAGGACACCAGCCACTAACTGGGACTTACTTGGTGACCCTGGATAGACAGACTTTTGAATGTCATCTCCAAACATTACGTGGACCACTTCATACTACGCAGCCTCATGACTGATGAATACAGTGGGCAGAGCATCTACCCTTCCCACCAGTACAACTAGGACTCTGGCCCCACCTAGAAGAACAGTATTCTGGGAAATGGGGTACAAGCAAGGGAGCAAAAAATCTTGAGCCAAAAGCTTCAATTAAAAAAAGAAAAAGAAACAGAAAAAGAAACAACAAACATAGCCGTAGATCAAAAAAAGATACCAAGAAAGACAGGTAAGTGGATAGATACATACAAATACACAAATGCATACATGCGCACAACCAACACCACTAAGATGCCTTGCTTAACATAACACAGGTCCAATTCAAAGGTGTGTCATATTTCAAAAGCCAGTTTTTTGTTCCAGTGCATCACACAGAGACATACGCATCCCTATACATCCCTACTGTGTATGGGCTCAGAGACACTTGAAAATGTTCACAGCATCAATGAGTAACAGCAAAAATGTGAAGACAAAGTAATTGTGGGAAAATCTTGCAATAAATATTGAAAATGAGTGAACTATAGTAGTGTGTATCAACATGAAAGGACATTATTGAAAGATACATACACTATGATACCATTTATGGAGACTCTGAAAACAATGTAGGACATTGTGTTGTAATAGTGTGAACATGCATGAGGATGATAAATAACCAGATTCAGTCTGGCAATTATTTCTGGGAAGGCAGAGAGCGAGGGTAAGATGAAAGGAAGTTAATCAGGGAAACTCAGTCATATTTGTAACAAGCTGCTTCTTTTTTTAAAAAAATTAAATATATTGAGGAAACTGTGGCACAATGTTAGAATGAGGTAGAACTTAGTAGCTGGTCTTGGCTTCAGATTCTTGTTGTGGGAAATCCTGAATCTTTTAATATATTTGAAATATTCCTTGACAATTAAAAATTGTAGGCGCATTCAAATATGAGAAAACTGCAAAGAATTTTTAAATTTTTAAAAATGGGCTTGATAAGGGCTGTATACAGAGTGGAGTTGGACTAAAATATTTAACTTCCTGCTCTGAAAATCTGGGACCCTCATTGAAGGAAATAATGTCCTTATCTTAACCCCAGTCCTCTCTGACCATCTGAATTTTTCCAAATGGCATCTGTCAGCAACAAGTCTTTCAACAATTATGATTCAGGAGCCTTATGTCATCAGTTGGAGTCTTTAGACAATGCCATCATTAAGAGCAGGTGAAATTGTAAAGTGGGAAAAAGAGAGATTTCATGGAGCTCAAATCTAAGATTAGATATATACTGAGCAATGAACAAGTCATACACGTACATATTCTATGATTGGGGGAAAAGTTTGTTTTGCATTTTTTAGCTGATTGTGGAGAAGATTTTTAAATGATCTCTTTATGGTCTCATTTAAGCATTTTGTTTTCTTCTTTTCTGGGCATGGTTAACAAATTAAAGAGCCTATTTCCTGTCCACAGCTGTGCGTCATTGCCTTTGGGAATATAATGGCAACGGATTCTAAGGGAGTTAGTTTCTGCTGTCTGGCAGCGAGAGCTCTAGCATAAACAAGCCTGCAACCTACTCAGCACTGAGCAGACACGTCTGTGAGCACTCCTGCTGTCCCCTGTGTCCTGTGAGCCCACGGTGTGTGTGTGTGTTCACTGATAGTAGAGCCTTGACCTATGAAGTAATGTTGACCCAAAGATGTGCATGCTGAAACGGGCCTCAAGTAAATCCAGGGAATTTACTTCCTTGTATGGTCCTTGAGAGGTTATGACTCTAAACTTCAGGAATTATGGGTGATATTTGTTAATTTTTATTGTTTCCATGAAAATGAAAAACTAAAACTGATGTCTCTCAGAAACAAGTATTTTCCATCAGAGAAAAAAAAAATACACACTATAAAGTTCCAAGTTGTTAAGTGCATTAAAACATGAGAAAGCTGGAAAGCGTGTTTGTGGGAGATGTGTGTGAAATCAACAAGGAAATGTGAGCAATGATTTGTTTTTTGATGGCTTAATGGTTTTTTGATGGGTGTGTTTTATAAAAGTCCCATTCATAGAATGAGAATTTTATAAAGATTGTTTAAAGTTAACATAGCAGTAATGAAGCTAATGCAGACTTTGTTTATAATATATGAAAATAACCAATTTAATTTCAAATATTGAAATTTACTTTGTTTGCTAGACATCTTCAGTTTATAGGAAAAGAATATATATACATGGGGCACTATAATTCTTTAGATTATTAAGCATTTATCTTCTTAAAAGACAAAGGGCAAAAGGTGGAGGCCTCAATGTATCTGAGATGTTTACAGGTTGCTGTAAACTGACTTTGAGAAATAAAAGGAGGAAAATATCTTTGCAATATTGTCATACTGGATGGAGTTCGCTGATCTCATAGTCTTTGAACTTCTGGGGTTGGAGAATTTAGTATAAATAAGGAAGATTGAACAGGCCACACATTATGATGATATAAACATCGCTTTTTAAAAACTGTAATCTTTAGTTTAATTTTTGGATTTTACAGGTACTTGATTTTATCAAAATCTGAAAATGTTTATCTCTTTCTATCTATAGTACATCTATATCACCATTTGCATGGATCTTGACAGGAATAAAAAAAAAAAAAGAACAGAAGACCATATTAGAGGACACCATGGAGGAATGCAATCAGAAAAATTCAGAAGTGAGAAATTTTACTGGGTAGGGAGTCTTGTTTCCTATGTACACAAAAGTTGTTTTGAAGAGGGAAGCTTTAAATTAAAAGAATTTTACTAAATATACTGATCCAATATTAGTAAAAGTGTCTGTGCTTGTGTGATTTGTATGTGGAATAAACAAGAAAATATGAGCAATGATTTATTTTTTATGGCATCAAATAACTATTGTTAGAATTTTTATTTATTTTTCTACTTTTATAACCTTAAATTTTTTCCAAGTATATTGCAGTATAAGTGACATATAAAATTGTTACAATAGAATAATTTGAAATATGTATATATTGTCAAATGATTACCACAATCAAGTTAGTTAATACGTCTACTACCTCACCTAGTTAACATTGTGTGTGTGTGTGTGTGTGTTAAAAATCTTTAATGTCAACTGATTCAACATATTTTAAGCATACAAACAGTAGTTTAACTATAGCAAACATTTTAAGTGTAGTAATGGTATTATTGCTTTTTAGAGTTCTTATCTTTAAGACACTGAAACTAAAATATTTATGCACAAAATAATATATGTCTAAGATCCTCATCAAAATAATCTGACTGGTTGAAAAGCATAATTATTCCTATATCAATAATTTTGAAAGTGAATAGTGAGCTCATTAATTTCCTTAAAGTATTCTCTTAATCCTTGTGTGTGTTTGAAACTGTAACAAAAAGTTTGAACACTTAATGAGAATCTTCATGAGTGAGGGAATTGTGTCTGCCTTTCTCACACTTGTATCCTTAGAACAACAGTAGATGGTATAGACTAATAGTAAATAGTAGATAGCATTGTCTCAATAAATATTTGCAGAATTTATCAACTAACAATATTTGGAGGAAAATGCCTTTGTAAAAATTCTGAGAAGTTCGGTTCACTACATCTTAACAAAGGGTGGCGGAGCAGGGATGTCAAGATGAACTCAGTCTGTTTACTGTGTGAATGTCTCTTATGTCTCATACTTAGATTTAAATGATTTTTTCAATCTAAATCTGTGAAGTATATCCTTTTAAAGAGTTCTTCCTCAAGAACTAGAGTCACTCCAAGGGCTATCTAAACTTATTTTGGAAGTTTTCTTTCTAAGTAAGTTTTGTCTCAAAATTATTTGGAAATTTTACCTAAACTTCCATAATTCTCAGGAATTCAATTATACAAATTTTATTTAGAAATTCAATATGAAAGATATTATACTTTCTTTTGATCATAAAACAAATCTGTGTTTCTCAAGAAGCTAGCTCTATCTAGAGGAACTTACTCTGTGAACCAAATCTGACCCAACATTTTTGGGGGATCCTTTGCTCATGAGATAGTGGAGAGTTAAGTTTCCACAGCTTATCTTACTATTTTAGAGCAGTAAATTAAAGTAGGATGATTGGTTATTTGAGGTAGCTGATGTATTCATCTTACATAACTCTAAGATAGATGACCTCATGTGCATGAGTGAAAGGTTTTATAATTAATGTGATCCTGGCTTTAGCTGTGGACCTTTCTTTAAAATCTCACCTGCTCAACTTGTCAAACCAGCATAGTTAGTTCTATCAAAGATATATCTAAATAGTGCTGGACATACATTGTCATTGTTTTGGTGTCTGTTTTTATTGGTGATATTGTTTTGTGGTTTTGGGAGCGTTTTTCTCTCTCTCTCTCTCTCTCTCATTGACTATTGTGGGCAGAAATCTTATTAAGATAGAATTCTGACTAATCATTGGAAAATCAGCCTTCTGTTTGCCAAAGATTTATTCAGATTTTTTATTGCATTATTATGACCATTTTTCTCTAGAGTCCAAATTCTTAATATTAAACCTACAGCATAGGAGATCATCCTTGAAATATTAAAAAGGGAAAAAAATCCCAAACTCAAGAATGTGATTATAATTTGTTCTAGCCATGAAAATTCATGACTCCAACCCACACACAAGATGAAATTTTATTAGTGTACAGTTTGTACTGTATGCTCTTACATTTCAGTTTGTCATTCCCCAAAAATGTACTTTTCTACTTGAGCAAGTAATTGAAAATCGCCCAATGACTAAGGTTGTTCTGGGTCTGATTTCCACTGTGTGGCTGGCTGTACAATTTTAGGGAACATGTGATCAATGCCACACAAGGGCAGAAGTCTATGAACTGCAGGTTTTTGAGCAGAATGTTTGGTGCTTGGTCTGTCTCCCACTAAGGATTTTTTTTTCCTAACATGGAATGAATCTATTTTTTGTCCAAATAACAATTGTATTCTAGTCTACATTATAATTTTTACATATATTTGAATGGTTTTGACAGTGTTACTTTTGAACAGATTTTAAAATGACAACATAAAAATTTATATCCTACAAATAAAAGGTATATAATAAAAAATTGGCATCTAGATATCTGAACCATGCCTGTAGGAGTTCCCTGGTTGGTTCTATCACTGAGTACCTGGCCTATTTAAGAATTCACCACCAATGATAAGTTCTCCTCAGTCCCATGTAATTCACCAAAATCAGAGAGTTTTATATATACACACACAAAATAAACACTCTTTTAAAGCCTCATCAATACAAATATTCAATTAGAAAGGTTAAATGTATCATCAAATAGCCAATTCTATTGATCAGATCCATTATAGGCAATCTCTCTGTATGTCTGTTTCAGTCTTCCTAGAAATACAAATTCCTTTGAAAGACCATTCTAGAAATACAGATTCCTTTGAAAGAACTTCAGTGCAATATCTTAGGGTATGTGAAGGAATAGGTCTAGTACATATTTAACTACTATCCAATCTTCCAGAACACAGGTGAGAGGAGGAACCCTAGTTACAGACTGTTGTTCTAGAACCCCTTTTTTCCCCATGGATACTACTGTGGCAGTGCCTGGTTAGCATTTGTGAGCTGCTGTATCAAGTCTAGGGCATTCAAAGAAGAAATCTTCTGAGCCAGTGCCAGGTACCTCTGACCAGAACAGAACTGTACCTTGGGCACCTGAACCTCTCAGGGTTATCTTTCATCTTGACTTATGGTGAAAACAAGTTTTGATCCTTATGAAGGATCATTTTGCTTTCAAGGATCAATTTTCCCCCACCTCCAGGAATATATAGAAATGTAGATATGCTCTTTTAATATAATATTAAGTTTCACTTTCTAAACATGCTATTCCTAAGGGAGTTTAAAATTGTGAACAAAAATATATGAAAACATAATAATGATGAAAAGGTTTATTAGCACATGTTTATAAAGTTGATTGCTATTTAATTAAAATGCAGTAGTCAAAATTCAAAGAAAAAAGTAATAATGACAAAAAAAATGAAGCATTCTAGCAAAACTGGCAGGCTTTAAACTAATGTTAGCTTAATTGATAATAGATAATCTTTGAGCAATCGTACTGAAACCCAAGAAAGAAAGAGGTAGGGCACTGCCTCAGCAGATGCATAGCCTGGACCAAGTTCATTGCCACTAAGGATGACAGGAATATTATAAAATTTAGGTAGGCAGAGGATGGATACTTGTATTATGATTAATAAAATATATAATACTCAAAACATTCACAAGGGAAATGTAAATATTTATGACAATGATAAAAACTGAATGTAAATTTGTAAAAACAATGTAATTTTATTATTTAATCTAGGCATGCTTTGAAAAGTGAAGGGGTTTTTTGATAAATTTTTGTCTATTTTGATTTATCTTTGTTTCTCCTATTTGTGTTTTCTAAAATTAGAGTGTAAAAATTTTATGAACAGAAAAAAAATCAAGTTATTAGAAATATATTCTTGGAATGTTATTTTTCAAGAAGATGGTCAAGTCAGATTGTTTCTAAATCACTAAATCTTTAGATACTATGCACAACTTAAAATAAGTCTTGTTCCATCTTCTGTGTTAGACTGGATATTTATTTAACTATCCATCTATACTTTGTGTTACAAAAGTGATCTCTTTATCTTCTAAATTTGCTTCTTTTGCCAAGAGTTAACACATTTATATGTAACAAAGGCAGTATAGGCTATCTGCAAAGGCGAAAAAAGCGTCAACCATATTCAATTAAAGACAGTATTCAATGTGAGTCATTTTCCTCCGCCTGTCCCTGGATCTCTCCAGTTGGAGTTTCTCACTTGGTCTGTACCATAAGTCAGAGAACGGCATGTACTGTACCTGTACTGGCCAATTTTATTATTTGTTAGAATTTTTCCTAGTGCTAGGTCATTTGGGGCAGGAAGTCATTGCCAGTTAGCAAGAAGAGAAAGCAAAAATAATGCACTCTAAAAAACAGTGGCATTTGCAAGTTGCACACAACTGTGTTATTTTAAACCAGCAAGAGCTGGATTTGGGGATGGCAGCCACATGTACCCTGGAGCGTGTCATCGAAGAGAACCAGGTATTACAGGAGCCACAAGCACACTGTGCAATTAGGGTTAGGCGAAAGGATTAAGTAATCCTGCAGTAGTCACTGTTACATAACTCGGCAGTTGCTGCACAGGGATGGGAGCGGTAACTGAATACTATAGCGGGAACTGGCAGCCTTGCTGCAGCCAAGGGTCACTGCTGTTTTCATTATAAACCTTATTTTGTAGTTGGTTTATAACCCAGACAGTTTAATTCACATCGGGCTGAAACCTGGCATTCTAATTAGAAGTCTAGAGGCAATTTTTTTTTTTTCAATAATAGAATTCTGAGCTAGAAGGCACCAGAAAATTGTCTGGCTCAACTTGTATTTTGCAGCTAAGATACAAGCATATAGAGTGAGGCATATATAGTGTCATACAGTGATAGGCAAAGCCAGACCTAATTTTTCTGCCTTCCAGATTAAAAAATTAAAAAAAATTAAAAAAGACTTCTACCATTTTATGCTAATTTATCTTAACATACAGAGGAACTGGCAGGATGTAAGTGTTGACTCTTCCATTTACCAGGCATCCCTCTTACCACTTGAAGTATGTTGCCCAGGTAAGTACAGCTTGTCAAGTGGCACAAAAAGAATAGCTCAGGCCCATTTTGTGGCTATTTTGCACTTTTACATTCCTTTTCCTCCCATCCTATCAGTTCTCCATTCAGTTGACTCATTCACGATCCCAAAAGGAATTATTGCTAAACTATTGATACATGGGGCCCTAGTTTCCTATCTTCTAATGGTCATAAAATGCATCATAAATTGAACTGGAAAAGAAAGAAAGGTTCTGAAGCCAGGATCATGTTTCTGTAAAACCACAACTGGTTGAAGAGTGAGTGAGTTCATGCACCAAGCCATAGTGCTTTTTGTCATTCATACACAATGTATATGTTTAACAATGCATGATTTTTTTTCTTTTTTTTTGTGAGTGGTGTTTGGGATGGGATTCAGGGACTCATACATGCAAGGCAAGCACTCTACCACTGAGCCACACTCTCAACCCATCACAATTTATATCTTTATAATGTTATTTTTTAGATTTACCTGTGCAAAGTATAAGAACACTGTGTAGCAGTTTTCATCTCCTGTAGAAGAATATGATGATAAAATGAATTAATCCAGTTGAAGATAGGAGAAAGAAGAACATGCTGAGACTTTGGCTTTTGTTTACAATAAGTTGGAACACAGTAATTATAATTCCCAGAGGATAATTTAATAAGCTAAACCCTACCAACGAATTTTGTTTCTTGTAAACTTTTCAGTCCCTTTGTGCTATTTCCCTCCATTTACCCCCTTTATTTCCCAAATTAATATACTACATTATGACTGCTCTTTGTTTATACTTACTGCTTGTGGTCATTATTATTCTCTAAGTTTATGACATTGACAGCTTGAAATTCCTAAGAACCACACAAACCATACTCAGGAAGTGAGTAGTAATTGGCAAAAGGAAAGCATAATATGGAGAGAATTAGTCAAAGAGTGTTGTAATAATTTGGCTCAGTTAGAGGATTCATTTGTTTTGCATTTCTTGTCCAATGTATTATAACATTATTGGAGATGACTTCATAGGTCAAGTGTCACTAAGAAACCTCATATTTTTATTTAGCATGAAGAGACCCAAACTTGCCAGAAAGTCAATATTTATCAGGGGCACTTCATTTAATATTTTTATTTTCTCCATAACCTAATCCCCATTTCAGGGGTTGACAACTTTAGTCACTGGTTTAGTTATCCTCATTTTGTCGGAACTAGTGTGTGCATGCAACTTACCTTCTGGTTACTAAGAGTGAGACTAGGCCAAAAGTGCTTTTCACTGAATAGTATGTCAGGTCGATGGTGGTGACTTAGGAACAAAGCACCAAGCAGCCCATGCATGGAAAGAAACATCAATCAGTCACCAACAGAACCACCTGTCAATCAGCAGGTTCTTCTGGCCAATCCTGGATCTCAGCCTGTTCCCCCAACCAACTCCATTGGGACAAGGGACTCTAAAAATCCCTTTTCCTGTCCCAAGCCCTTCCCTTCCTGCTGTAAGCACCATAAAATTCCAATCCCATTGAGCCCCTGTGTGGTTTCTCCTCAGACCCTCTTCCTGTCTGCTCTGCAGGTCTGATAGAGTTCTGGGAGTGACATCTCAATAAAGCCTTGTTCAATGGCCTTTTAACATCTGCCCCCTTTCGGTTGCGACTGTTGCCTGACCTTACATAGTATGTCTCCGTGGTTTTTAAAACCTAAGTATTGGTGGACTTCTTGGCATTACCATTAAATTTCAGTGGCATGTGGGTCCTATTTTAGGAGTTTGGGGCCGTCAGGTTGAGCATTTATATCTTATATGAAGCATGCTTCTTTAAGAGAAAGTCCATGTGCAGACAACCCAAATTACATAACAAAACCCCAAATGTCTGCACAAATTGACATGCAAATGAAATTCTCTGTACTATTTAGTTTCAAAGCCACTAAAAAGGCAAATTGGTTTGAGATGAATTGAAAACTATGCAGAATCTTTTCTGTAAATCTAAACTCAAAACAAGTCTCAAAGAAGTTGGAAAAACTGAACCAGTTTCCCAAATGACCATTATCTGCCCCCCCCAAACACCTCTTTTCTATGATCCTAGAAATTTCAGAGCATGCACAAAACTCCATGCTTACCACATTTCAGCCTGTATGAAATTCCATCTTGTAATTCTTAATAACCTATGTGATTTCCACAAGGATGAGAAATAATTCCATAATAAAATATGTCTCATGAAAGAGAATGAGATTTAATGATGTTACATAGTAACTATTCAAATTAGAAACATATGCATGGATATGCTCATATATTTTTACACAAAGTAAATGTATTTGTCTCAATTTTCTCTTCAAATGTTTAGAATTCTCTCATTCTGTTACATTTTACTATACAGTCTTACAAATATATAAAACTATATAGTATATGGTTTAGTATAATAACATATATATTTTAATAGTGAAACATTTTTACACACATCATCTGATTTTCATCTTATTGGTGTTTTGCTTCTCATTCTGGGAGATTATTCTAGATGTGACTTTATTTTCTAAATCACCTTCTAGATTTTCCACTAGGCCTATCTCATCATGATTTTCAACTTCTTTATAAATATTTTTTTTTGCACAATCAATCATGATTTTAAAATAATTTGTTTCTAGAGCACAATTTTAAGCTATAAAAACACTTTCAGTACTTGATTATTCTTTTCTCATGGTGGCATATGATTATTGTATGGATACAATACTCTCTGAAATCTGTAGAGGACCATTGTTTTAAATTTTCCCTTCATAGAATTCTCTCTTTTCCCTATAATATCTCTCCTAATAGTTAGTAGTGTGTAGTTTTTACATTTATGGTTATAAATGGGGGACAAAAGACAAGGAAAAATGAGGAAATGATTCACTGAGTTTCCCTTGACTTGATTCTTATTCCTATTAGCATCTACATTGTGGTATTTAATACCACAGTATGTAGGAAAGAGAAAATAGCAACTCATGCTTTCGGGGGCAGCCTACATTGAAGATCAATTTGACCTCCTAAATCTGTGTACTTTGAGTCAGCAATTCCATTTCTAGAAACATTAAGGGATAATCAAGGTTAAAACACAAGGGTTCAAGAATGTTCATTTCAACTGTGGTAATGTAAGAAGAAAAGAATGAACCCATTTCCAGGTTTATGAACTTGAATATTGTCAACAACTTTGGAATTTTTACCTATTACACTTACATGTTTCTCTATCTCACTTTCCTGTCCCCAAAGGAAACCACTCTACTTATTATCAATATTAGCTCCAAGATTCTAAATTCTCATTTTTTTCCTAAAATTTAATAATCTTACTTTTGAATTTAAATGTTTAAGCAATCTAAGTGATTGGTAGGAATTGTGTAAGATAGATCTATTCCATGTTTTCTGGAATGAATGACCCATCATTAAATGAACATGGCATTGTACAAGCATTAATTATTGAAAAGACCTAATTTTACCACTTATGTGCTTCCACAATTATATACCATTTTATGTATGCGTGGATTTATAGTTTTTTCTACTATCTGTATTGTTTTTGTTTGTGAACTTACACCACTGTCAATGCTGCAGCTTTGTAGAAAGTTTTGATGCCTAATGGAGAAATCCCTTTACATTATTTTTCTTCAAGTATTCCTTAACTTGGACTTTTCCTTTTCCTCATACATTTCCAAATCAGATTCTTAGGTTTCTAAAATATAAAATCCTGTTCAATTTAAATTGAAATTGCATTTAGGCAATTTGAGAATATTGATTTCCTTATAATAGCAAGTCTTCCTTGAAAGTAGCAAAGATTTAAATTTATTTAGGTTGTCTTGAATGTCTCAATAATATTTAAAGGTTTTCTTTACAAAAATTTTAAATATGGGCCTTCCTGGAGAAAGTATATTTTTATGTAGCCTGTACTTTTTTGATAAGGTAAAAAGACATCTACTTTAAAATTACATTTCCAACTCTTTGTTGCAAGAGTACAGCTTTCTATATATTAACTTCCCCTAAGCATCTGTATATATTATATTTTTAATTCTGTAGATTCTTTGGAATATTTTTACCCATGAATTATAAAGATTTTAGGTTTTATTCCAAACCTTAGAACTACTCTCTTTTTGTCTAACTTGATTGTCTTAGGCTTCTATGTTGAATGGGAGGGGTCTTCTCATTTCTAACTTCAGAGGAAGCACTTTTAATATTTTGCTGTAAAGGCTGATATTTGCTATAAGTTTTCTGTTGATTCCTATTATCAGATTATGGGAGTTTTATTTTCAATTTATTAAGAATAATTTTAATATTGTCAATAACTGTTGAATTTTAGATACTGTTTTCTGTCCCTTTGGAGATGATTATGTGACCTCTCTCCTTTTCTCTGAATATACTAATTCTAGATTTTTTGGAGATATTTAACAATGTTGAATTTCTTGATTATAAACTGATTGTGGACTCTGATTCCCAACTTATTCTTTTGTCAAAAAATTGTTTATAATGCTTGCATACATATATTCATGTCCTTTAATTTTCTTTTCATATTTTTGTTTCCCAAGTGTTAATAGGCAGAATATTGGTTCCACAAAGATGTCCACATTCTATTCTCTGAAAAAAGTGCCTTGGCCAACGTGATGACAATATTAAGAATCTTGAGATTGGAAGAGTCACCTGGATTATCCAGGTGTGCCCAATCTAATTACATCCTGTTGAAAATATGTCCCTGCTCTGGAGAAAGAGAGATATGCAGTGTGTAGACAGAGCTCACCATGGGGGCTGCCTGGACAAAGAAGCCCATGAGCCAAACAATGAGGGCAGCCTTTAAAACTCAGAAAGAAAAGTAGCTCTGTGTGGTGAGATCAGTGCCAGACTTCTAAGTTCTAGAATTATATATAAGAAATATGTGTTCCTTTAAGCAACTAAGTTTGTAGAAATTTGTTACAGCAATAGAAGGTAAACATCTCTGGTTTCATTATTAAGATCATACTTGCTTTATTAGATGAAATGAAGTTCTTTCCCTTTTAGTTCCATTTTCTGGTTCCTTCTGTATAAGATGGGAATGAAATATTTTTTAAAAGTTCAGCGAAACTTTTTCTTTAAAATTTTCTGGATATGTTACTGACTTTAAAAAGGTTTTGTTGTTATTTTTGAACAACTGGTTCAATTTTGAATCATTACTATTATTCTTAATTTTATTATTATAAATTGAATCTTACTGTTATAAGATTTTTGTTGTACATTTCCTCCGAGTGCCTCTAATCTCCTTGTGTTCAAATGTGAAGTGTCATAGTGTTCTGATATTATCTTTTTTTATCTCTTGCCTTATCGTTAGTTATGTTCTTTTTTCCATTCCTAGTACTATTTATTTGACTTTAATCTCCCTTGAAAAATTCACTCTTAGTTTACCTATTTTGTACATATTTTTTTTCTCTAATTTCGTTGCTTTTATGCATTTGGTTTAGGTAACTTTTTCACTGCTCTGACCAAAAGAACAATTTTAGAGGAGGAAAAGTTTATATTGGGTTTCAGAGGTCTTAGTCCACAGACAAACAATTCCATTCCTAGGTGCCTGAGGTAAGGCAGAACACCATGGTGGAAAGCTGTGGTAGCTAATCATCATACCAGGAAGTAGAGAGAGCAAGACTCCTCTCACCATGGATAAAACATAAACCCCAAAAGTATGCCCCCAATGACCTACCTCCAGCCACATCCTACCCACCTTCAGTTACCACCAAGTTAATCCCCATCAGAGGATTAATACACTCATTAGGTTAAGGCTTTCATTACCCAGTCATTTCACATCTAAACCTTCTTGCATGGTCTCACACATGAGCTTTGGGGGACACCTCACTCTAAATTTTTGATCTTCCTTTTGGAGTCATGTCCTCTTCTGCCAAGGAAGAAGCTCTCAGTTCTTATATATCTCCATGTCATGATTTTTTTTCCTTATTATTGAAAGAAACTGGCTGGTTACATAGTTCTAGGTGGACAATCTTATTGTTTCACTGTGTCCTGACTCCTGTTCCTACTGCTGAGGCATCCAGTTAGTTCAGTTTGCTTTTAGAAGATTTGTGTATCCTCTCAGCCTGCTTTTAAGAGCTTCTCTTCATTTCTGGAGTTCTAACATTTTAGTGGCTAGCAGGAGCATAGTTATTGATTCATTTTATTTTATTCAATAAATAAAAAGTCAATAAAAATTATTCATGTTTCTTTTTACTTGGATTTTTGTGAATCTTTACTCATTGCAGTGCTTATCATTCCATCTGTGCTCCTTCTATTTGTATGTTCTTGTCTTTCATTGGAGTTTTTCTGGAAATTTTTTTATCATTACCTTTACAATAATTGGCTCTGTTATGGATTTCTATTCTCTTCTTCACAAACTTATAAAACAAATTTAGATCCTCACATTCTACTTTTCTTATCTCTTAGCCACTTTTTTATTTATTTTCACTTTATTTTGTCTTTGTGTTGGATTTCCCATTATTTCTTTAAAATGAAACTGGTGGTTTACTGACTCTCATTTGTGTTAAGTGGATCATCTGCTAAATTTTTTATTTTAAAGATTATATTTTCATTCTTAAAAGCTGTATTTCATTAAATCTATAAGGTAGTTTAAATTTTCTGTCATCTGTTTTTAAAATACTTTATTACATACATTCTATATCAGATAATACCCCTATCTGTTGTTTTGGGGATGGAAATATATTGTGTTTTGATTATCTTTACTCTCAACAATAAATTGATTTGCTTTTGTTGTGATCTGTGATCTTTGATCAGAGATAATATTTGACAGGCATAAATAAATCAAGATCCCAAAGACCTGGATTTCCTCCAGGAGAATTAATATAATGATAAGTACTGTTTCTCATTAAGTGGAAATCTGTAGAAATTTAAGAAATTTTAAAAAATGAAGTTCAAAAAAAAAGAAATTTAGAAATTAGAAAATTTTGAATAATATTTGTTTGTTAGAATTGAATATGTTAAATCATAAGATAGTTTGTGATTATGCAGCATGCATAATTTTATATAATATAAACTAGAATATATAGTGGTAGAAAGTTTAACAAAGCTTCTTTGTATTTTTGGTGCTACTAAGTAAGTTCAGGATATTATGAGGGAAGTTACAAAACAGATCAGTGGAGTCTTACAGGAAGTTAATATTATAAGACTGGTGGGTAACTTTAGTTTCATACAAGAAACATAGTTAACAAGTGAACACAGTTTTACCAGCAACATTAAAAATGTTCTTTATTATTTTAAAAAGTCATAACTTTGGAATTTCAAATATAAAGATTTGAAAACTTTGAATCACAGAGAAAGAATGTGTAGTCTTCCATTTTTAATAGATTTCGGCAAAATCTTAAATTTCTGAGGAAGCTAAGTGTACATTTACCTTAAATTTCCTAGGCTTTGTTTTATCCTTCTGATAACATATCATAAAAAGCTTTGTCATTTAGAAACAATGATATCACTTTTCATACCATTATATTTAAGGTGTCTTTTTAAAAAATTTAACCAAGTTCTACAGCCTCTGCCTTCAGTTCCTTTCCTAGGAAAGATTAAAGAGGAAGTAAATCATTCTTGGATTTACCAGTTTGAAATGTAAAGTTTAACAACCTCTCAGTAGAGCGAACTTGCAACATATGTTAAAGTTAAGCATATTTACTTGTACTTAAGCATTTCATCTGGTAAATTATCCAATAGAAATGAAGAGTGCATAAGGATTATCCCATCAGCTAGTACTAGTTTTTAATAAAAGAAAACTCACCAATGGCAGGGTTGATTGAGAGAGAGTAGTTGGAATACATTGAAAAACATCCAAACTACAGAATGTGTTGGGGAACAATTCTCCACGTGTCTCTCACATTTTGACGCGCCTTGAGAACAGAGGCACTGACTGTCATTTGATCTGGACTATCTTTATAAAGATGTTTGTCTCATGAAAAATCTTGAATGACTGAGGTCTTCTCTTCCCCTAGAACAGAAAGCAGGCATGTCTGCTGTCCACTGTGATATAATGTCTCTCTCTAGAAAAAAAGAAAAAAGCAAGACATTCTTGCTGTCATCATAAAATATTCACATTTTCCGTGCAGGGTTCCTCTACTGCAACACAAACCATTGATGCATTAACTGAGTTTGTGCCCATCTGTGTCACTTCCAAAGGGCTTGAGAGCAAAGGAAATTCAAAAGAAGAATGATGTTCATGACATTTACCACACTGTGACAAAGTCTTTTGTCTCTGACACAGGAGTCTCATGTCATCTTTTACATCCATAAAGCTGGAAGACTATCTTGTTAGCTTACAAGTTAGAAAGCATATGGATCCTTCACAGTTCTCAATAACTTGGGTGATGATAATGGGATGCTGATTTAAATGTGACTTCAGGAAGAGAAAGAATAGGAAGCCACACGTCATATTTGTAAATATGACAAGAATCTCTGGATCCGATAGTAAATGCTGGGCAAGAGGGAGAGGTGAAGGGAGGTGGTCCCACTGTCCTTCCAGTCAATGAATCTTTAGAGGCTGAATAGTGAGAGGTAGATTTGAAATAAGCTCCTGAAGTGGTGCTTGGTTATTGCACTTTCCTCCGCGCCGTGGGTGAGTGGATGCTACCATGACAAAAGGGCAGCAAGTCTTGCAGCACCAGCCCAAAGGCAAAGAAGCTATGGCTGATGAACCAGGGAGCCCTTGAAGCTGAAATAAATAGTGTTAGCCATGTGTCAGCATAATCTTCAGTGTAGCTAAAATCATTAGACATTCTTTTGGTCAAGCCATGAGCCTGCACCTGTTCGAAACCAGCTCCTGTTGAATCTACTGCCTTGCTCACGGGCATGGAGCCCCTCTCACTTTTAAAGTCTGATTACTCCTTTCACCTCTACCCTGACTTCAGCAGCTTTACAAAGAGGTCTTCCAGTTCCGAAAAGAGACCAAAGGTTGTACACACCTGTTCCATTATGCTGGGGAACTCTGTTGGACCCAACTGCCCAAGTCATGATCTTACCCAGACCTGTGGGGGGAGACAGTCTCCTCAGTAGCTGGAATTATGGACATGTACCATCACCATGCTCAGTTGAAAAGAAAGAAAAGGTAGCTTTTAAAATGATAACTTGCTTTTGGGCTCTTGACAAAGTCAAATACCTCATGCAGTGAAGCCTTGTGACTCTCTGGCCTGCATGAGCTACAACTCAATGACTAACAAAGTGAGAAAACTTCACTTGTCAGATAAAAGTAATATATTCAAGAACATAGTTGGCCTGGCCCCACCAGCATCTGGGTATTATATGAGAAGTGGCAGCCAGACCTCTGGAGGAAATTTGATCTCTTACTTTATTTCTCAAAGCAAAGCCATTGGCTCAGTGGGGACCTTAAGTTTACAGGAGTTCTCCTAAAGGTCTGGTCTGGTTCAATGACGGTGACATCCATGTGCATTATGTTTTCACCTAAGTAATTCAACCTCTGGTAATTTGGAATAAAAACATATTCATATAGGTACATAGAGTAATATTTGCAAGAATGTTTATAGCAACATTGTGTTTGTTAGCAAATGACAAGGAGCAACCTAAAAATCTATTTTAGGAACTCAGTAGAGAAATTACTTGTTGTTTCCTACAAACCATGAAAAATTATCTAAAACCATGACAAACAAAAATAATACAATTTTTGTTTTCATGAAAAGTACGCATTTTCTCAGTATTATGTAAAATATGAATAAAAGGCATATTTTATTACTGTTGTCATTTGTTTATGAGCTATGTACATCTAAATCAGAACAACAATGTGATTGCTTAAGCAGGACAACTTCAAGGCCAGCCCTACAGTCTCCTTCCTGAAGCTTCCAACTCAAGTCCTACAACACTGCAACCCTATGTTTCCCCACAGAAGTTCTGAACTTATTGATTATAAGACTAATTCTTACATGAAAATCAAAGTGCTCAAACTGTCAATTTTATCATTTTCATGTAAAAATACCATATATGAAGATGTAGGTATGTTCTATGCTGACAGAAAACACAAGAAACTGGTAATGGTAGCCCTGGATAGCTTTTGAAAGCAAGTCTTATTTCCATTGCTATATGTAAAGACTCACATGAAGGTTAAGAAATACAATCTCTGGGGGACAAAAATTCAGAGAATTATTTATTACCTGATACTCATTTTGTTTCATTTCTTTACTGAACTTGCACTAGGGAAATAATTTAATAAATCATTTGAAAAGAGTTATCCAGCCTGGTGTGGTAGTGCACACCTGTAACCCCAGCGGCTGAGGCAGGAAAATTGGGAGTTCAAAGTCAACCTCAGCAAAAGCTAGGTGCTCAGCAACTCAGTGGAAATCTGTCTCTAAATAAAATACAAAATGTTATCCAGAAGGAAAATAGAAGAAAATAGGGTATATCCATATTTTGAAAAAGCAACAAAATTTTTGTGATCTCTTTTGCTAAAAAGAAAAATACAATCCTGAAAGTAAACCTGGAGGCTGACATTAGAATAGAAGCAATAAATTCAACTAGATGAGCAAAGGCCTGGCAATGAAAATATACCTAGTTGCAACATTGCTTTTAAGAAACTTTATCAGACTGTATCATTCAAAAGAATATCTAGTTTTTATTATTTACGTTGATGTCTTCTGGGATACCACAATATGACCAGTGAAGGAAACAATAGTGTAATTAACAAATTCCCCGTTACATTCTTTAGTTTTCAGTAGCCAGTCTTCCCAGAATCCTATCTGGAATAGCCTCAATCATTTCCATACCATATAGACAGATATTTGGAGACTTCAGTGAGGATTCTTTTATTCCAACAGTACTTTGAAGGAATTGAGATGGAGAACACTGTGCTTTTGTCTTTGCACATCTTCCGGACAGTGGAGAATGTGTTTGGGAGCAGAAAATTCAAGTTCATCTCTTGGGGTCCTATAAAAATATCTTTGCTTTTGTAGACTGGTTGAACTAAAGGGGAAGAAACCCTCAAATTATTGGATTGGTATTATATATTACCAATACTTGACATATTAGTAGTAATACACACAAATCTGTTTTTATAACTCCAAGAATATAAGGTAGTTCTTACATCATCTTGGAAAACAATTATTTTACTTTATCCTTGGGGTTGTTGCTAATGGCAACAGAAAGAATGCACTGGAGTGTCATAATAATCCTCCATTAAATCCCTAGTGTTTAAATTTTAATGCTATAATTCAAGAGCTGACAAAAGCCCATTGAGTGTGTCTATGGGGAGGAAAACAGGCAGGCCCATTTTCTCAGGAGTGATGCTATAGCAACATGGAATGAATTTGGGGTCAAGGAACAAGCAGTCTCTAAGCTTTGTTTGCATTTCTGGCTAAAAGTGGAATCCAACATTATAAATTTCACCCAAATACATAGTTATTTTGAGCATCAGGAAGATAGCTCACTTTGTACCACCGTTTACACTGAAAACAGAGAGAAGGTAACAAAACCAGAAGTGGAAGAAAGACATGCTGACAAACATATTATGAAATGATTTTCCATGTAACCACTTTAGAAACCACTAGACAACCCCCCCACCCCCACCCCACACTTGACACCCAACCCTTCTTCCCTGAACAAATAATGCTTTAGAACATGGAGAAGTATTACAATTCACAAGGAGACAAAGGAAGCCTGATAACAATCTGGGTGTGACCCCTTACAGTCACTCAAGACATGGCCAAGTAGGGTGATGTTGGTTTTGTCTAGCTCTTTATAATGGCACTTTTGTTTTAGTGGGAGGATTTTTTTTTCTACCAGAATAAACAAATACACCTGAATTACAATGGACTATTGTGCAGCAGAAAACCAAAAAAAAAAAAAAAAAAAAAAGAAAAAGAAAACCGCTACCTAATTCCCAGAAATTTTCGTGGCCAACTTTTCTTTCCCGAAGCATCTGTGTTTTCACTTTTGGTTTTGGTATTACTATTGAACATGAGCACGTTGAGTCAGTGTTCAATAACACAAAATACTCTGTTTGAAGTGGTTATCCAATAAGGAGCATCTAGTAGTTATAGCCTCTATTTATATGACCTCCAATATGCAAAACCAAAAATTTTAAGTTTTTAAGTGCTAAGTCATAAGTGAAGACAGCTGTAAACTATGTATCTCAACACAACTCAGAGCTGTTCCTTTTTTTCTAGTCCCTCTTCCAAGTCGTCCACTGTCCCACCTCAACAATGAAGACCTCCAGGACCTGCCTCTCACAGTTCATCCTACACACACATTGGCAACACAATCATCTTCCTAAAACAATAACCAAAATTTTCCTCTATGCCAAAACCTGCGATGCCTATACAATAAAGTTCATATTCATATAAATTAACTGCTAATACAAAGAAGCCAAACTGTATTACTTGCTATTTCTTTTTTCTTTTCTTTTTTTTTTAAAGAGAGAGTGAGAGAGAGAGAGAGAGAGAGAGAATTTTTAAATATTTATTTATTTAATTTTAGTTCTCAGCGGACACAACATCTTTGTATGTGGTGCTGAGGATCGAACCCGGGCAGCATGCATGCCAGGTGAGCACGCTTTCGCTTGAGCCACATCCCCAGCGCCAACTTGCTATTTCTTTAACGTATCTTGCTTATACTTTCCCCAGAGTGTATCTGTTTATCTATATATGTATATATAGTTAATAGACACTGTCTAGAATTTTCCCATCATTGTTCTTTCCATCCTTCAATCCCAGATGAAGTGTCACCTTTTCCATAAAACCTTTCTGGATTATTCCTTCAGGAAAACATTTTTTTCTTTCTTTCCTTCTTTTTTCCTAAGCTGACATGGCCCATGTAGAATAGTCTTTGGAAACTTAATTCCTTTTAACAAACTGTCTATTGTCTCCTGAAACAGAGTTTATATGCTTAATTATTTTTCTTTCATCCATTTTACTCTTAGAAGAAAGCACTTTTTAAAGAAAACATTCTGTTCTGTGTTGTTTACCTGGCTTTTGCCTACTGGGTATAAAATAAAGTTTAACTAAAGGTATGAGATAAAACTAGTAATAAGTGATGTATTCTGATCAAGTACAAGGACCTTAAATGGAAGAATGGTTTAGCATAAAAAGGAAAATAAAGGACAGGTTAGAGTATACAGTATGAATAACAACCCTGCTATCTGCATGGTTTACCAAGATAAGAATTAAGGCTTTGCTTGTATTATCACCCAACATGGTGCAGAATGGCTCTGCTCACTGCAGTCACTGAGGGATCCAGGCTGGGGAAGGTCCTTCTTTCATGCACCTACAAAATGGTTGTGTCTGAGAAAGAGAGATCTGTGAGCCACTCTGGCTCTGGAGGCTCTGCCAGGAAGTGGCACACATCTCTTCTGCTCATACTTACTAAGCCAAAGCAAATCATATGGTCACACAGGCTCCAGGGACAAAGAAGGGATATTCAACATGGGTTGGAAATGGCAATTTGAAATGTTTGGAGAACAGTAAATTATTGCCCCATATTTTCCCAATAATTAAGAAAATAATAATAAATCTCAAAACCTATTGAACTCAAATGAAATAAGTTGAAGATATCTTTTAATATCCTTAGCAAACAGCATCCATAGCCATAAAATTTTATACTTGGTTATCTCTTGGTACTTTTTACCCAATTTTTATAATAAATTTTTAGATATGCTAAAGACAAAGATGCTTACTATCATTACTACTGATCAGTATAGACTCTAGACTGCAAATTGTTACAATACAAAAGACATAAAAGAAAAAATGAAGTATATGGCTTAGCTATTTCTATAGGTATATATAAACTGTTGGAATTGCTTGCTATTTGTTTTAGAACTTTTATCAGAATTGTTAATAATCATGAAAAAATCTGCCACAAAAATTATTTAAAAATTCTAAAGCAGAACATCAAAGTCCCTTTGGAATTATAACAAATGAACTAGAATTTGTGTAACTGGAATTCCATTAAAAGAGAGAGAGAGAGAGAGAGAGAGCGAGAGAGAGCGAGAGAGAGAGAGAGA